AAACACGAGGACTTTAATCAATCACGATACTCCATCGTCAACGAAACACGTAAACACTGTCAGAGAAAATGATCGATAAAAATATATTTCCAACGAAACCTGTGATAACAATCGCAGATGCAATGGCAATAAATCAACCGTAACTCGAATGAGCGTCATGAAATTAATCCAAGCAGTTAGTTCCGTGTATTTAATCCAATTAAATAAAATAATCTCGCATATCGCTCTCCGGGTCCCGAAGTCCACGTAGCACCTGAGCAAACGCTCGGAATAATCCCCCAGATTCGTCGGACAACCGCATCAAACACAGGCCCGAAGCAGAAACAAAAAATCCGAAGTAAAACGTAGGAATAGCCGAGAATATCACTCGGGAATGCCTCGTGACGAAACAAAGCTTCGACCACATAACACCAAGAACCCACGCGAAGCCACATAGCTCCCCGCACACGTAGTCAAACTGCTGCGCACATAGGCAACAGCATCCGACGCCTGTTCAAAGTTTGCACTTAGCCGCTAAGTCTCATCGATGGTATCAACATAATAACGACAGACCAGAATCCCTTGGCATTAAATTGGTCACCACTGGTGTATGAATAGAGATATGACTGAGCGTCATGCATCCCTTTAACACCGGTAACACCAGGCGGATCACGCTGATCCATTAACCAATTGGCACAAGTTATTATTGCCGCTGGTATACAGAGAGCTTCGTTTAAGTTTATCGTTCGAGGTAGAATATTTTGGTTACATTTGTACTGCAATTTTAGGAGACGTTTTATCCAGGTCTTCATTGGTACATAATTTTTGGTATCCTGTATTTTACAGGAGATAGAATACCTCGAATTTTTCTCAGAAAAATAATTTATTGTGAAAATTGGGGATTAAAGCAGAGGTGATTAACGTGGCGAATTAAATTAATTTACTCGAAGGACGAAAAATTTGAGAATATTTAAAATAATAGAAAGTAATCTCAGAAATTTTAGCGAGGAAAAATTTATTTAAAAAATGGATCTCATAAATGAAAATTCAAGATATTTTGGTTATATTTGTACATCCATTTTAGAAGAATTTTTGTTCAAGTCGTATAACTTGATTGGTAGATAATTTTTGGTATTCTGTATTTTACAGGAGATAGAATACCTCGAATTTTTCTCAGAAAAATAATTTATTGTGAAAATTGGGGATTAAAGCAGAGGTGATTAACGTGGCGAATTAAATTAATTTACTCAAAGGACGAAAAATTTGAGAATATTTAAAGTAATAGAAAGTAATTTCAGAAATTTTAGCGAGGAAAAATTTATTTAAAAAATGGATCTCGTAAATGAAAATTCAAGATATTTTGGTTATATTTGTACATCCATTTTAGAAGAATTTTTGTTCAAGTCGTATAACTTGATTGGTAGATAATTTTTGGTATTCTGTATTTTACAGGAGATAGAATACCTCGAATTTTTCTCAGAAAAATAATTTATTGTGAAAATTGGGGATTAAAGCAGAGGTGATTAACGTGGCGAATTAAATTAATTTACTCAAAGGACGAAAAATTTGAGAATATTTAAAGTAATAGAAAGTAATTTCAGAAATTTTAGCGAGGAAAAATTTATTTAAAAAATGGATCTCGTAAATGAAAATTCAAGATATTTTGGTTATATTTGTACATTCATTTTAGAAGAATTTTTGTCCAAGTCGTATAACCTGATTGGTAGATAATTTTTGGTATTCTGTATTTTACAGGAGATAGAATACCTCGAATTTTTCTCAGAAAAATAATTTATTATGAAGATTGAGGATTAAAACAGCGCTGATTAACGTGAGGAATTAAATTAATTTACTCAAAGCACAACAAATTTGAAAACATTAAAAATAATAGAGAAGCTCAGAAATTTCAGTAAGGAAAAATTTATTTTAATAATGAATCTCACAAATGAAAAATCAAGACATTTTGGTTATATTTGTACATCAATTTTAGGAGAATTTTTATCCAAGTCGTATAACTTCATTGGTAGATAATTAAATCAATTTATTCAAAAGACAACAAATTTGAGAATATTAAAAATAACAAAGGGTTTCAGAAATCTCAGTGAGGAAAAATTTATTTAAAAAATGGATCTCACATATAAAAATTCAAGATATTAAATTTAGAAAAAGATTGATAACTATGTCAAGAAGTAGACTAGTATTTAAGACAGTAGAAAAAGATCTGCATCATTTAATTCGTCACAATAACATCTTCCAAAAATGAAGATACAAAATCTGAAGTTAGTTAAATCAATTAATTAAATCAAGTTAATTAATTAACTTCACCGAGTAATTTTGGTCTAGCCCTCCTTCGATCCAATTATCCACCACTTCCCTTACACAATTTCCCAAACTCTAGCACCGTTTGCTCGTTGCGATTCTGCGACTAATCCCGTTGAAAATTAACAAATTTCGCCAAGCGAAACAACATCACGATCTAGCCAGAGTAGCATTAAAGAACCGCAGCCCTGAAACCGGTCATCCGCCTCGGCGAAGCCATTTCTGGGGATTACGACACGCCAGGAAACGCTGGAAATTACAGTTCCCGCTAAACGGATCCTTTATCGCGACCATCCTCGTTCCAACACGCGTCGTGCTCTTATCAGTATTTAAACGAAATCGAAGCAGTGAAACGGCATCCGCGCAACCACGGACCCAACCCGCTGATCCCTGTCAGTGGTCCCGCTGCAATCTTCCATTAGAACCCGGAATTAACTCCCTTATCGATGTTGCATAACGATCTAAGTGGAAAGCTGACTGCATCCGTCCCAGTGCTGGCAAGTTCCAGGTCCAACTTTGCGTTTGACACCAGACAGCCTGGGATTCCGAAGTGGTTCGTTTTTGAAACGGGGTTAGAGGCTTTTGCGAGTTAGGGACTGCCTGGTATGGCGGGTGATCCGAGGTGACGATGTTCCGGATGAACTGCGCTGAACATTTCGGATGACGAGAAACTGCCATTGTTTGGGGACAGAATGTTTGAGGTTAGACTTCCGAAACTGGAGATAAACGGCGAGGTATCGGGGATTCATTTGGGAAATGGGCAGCAGTTATCTCGTTCGAGGTATAGGTCGCAATTGACAAATTACTGTTCCTCCTGGTACCCCCTTTTGCCCCCGAATCTTCTGTAACCACGTGTTTTCTGCTTGGAATTTCGAGGAGGATGCAGACGTAGACTAGATCAGGTGATTGGAGTCAGGTCTGATGGATTCCTTTGTTGAGTAAGTCTAGGGTGTTTGGAAAGGGATGAGGGATGGCCGAATGGAGAATGTTTAGCTTCCTTGTGGACTTTTAATCAGAGGAAGAAAACAGAATCAGGTTTCTGTTGTCAAGACCAGGTCAGGGGGTCTGTTTGTCCGAAAGTTCATGCGATTCTCAAGATGCTGTGATTGTTGTACGTCTCTCTGCTATCGAGACTAGGATCAGGAATGTTTCGCTGTAAGTCTTCTGACAAATGTAGAAAATAAAAAGGATCGGTTCACATGGAAATCATGACATGGACATGGAATTGACGATGATGGAATTGATGATAATCTTATTCTTAACGATTATTCTGAATGTCAATACATCTGTGGCTTCCCCAAGCTTTGACTGTTAGATAGTCACCGGAAACATAGATTATCTAGGTGCTTCTCTAACTTAGGTCAAGAGACTGTCATACTCAGAGATCCAGCCTCTTACTTAGGTCCAACAGTCCCTGCTATCTATATGAAAAGAAGATCATTTCATTCTCATCCAGTTTACCCAGATTCGTAATTAGCAGCAAACAAATCCTGACATCCTGATAGATACCAAGAAACTAAGTTTCGTACATCAAATAACCATAGTTACGTCAATGTCTTGCACATGTGCACGTGCACTGAGCTAATATTAATACACGGGAAATCAGATACGAACTGAAAAGGAACGAATTCTCTCCCCAGTGTGTTTTCTTCGCGTAACTCCGGCTCAGGTGAGTGCACGTAAGGCCAGGTGGTTGGCTGTTTGCGTTTTACTTCGAATACCTGAGAGGAAGACGTTTTTTGGACAAGCTAAATATGCATACAACTTGTCTCGCTCGGCGCTCCAACCTCTGTTTGCTTTAACATTAAAGTATACGCTGTCGCTCTGGACAGGGGGACGTTTATGCGGATAGTTTGCTCGCGCGCATCCGTCTATTGTACCTTCTTCTGGCGTTTTTCCCTTTGCCTCTCATGGAATTGTCTTCCAAAAACTGTAGGCTAATATTTACGCGAAACAAAACTGGAGGAAGTTTGGCTTCTAACTGCCCTTCGATCTCGAACGATTAATTTCCATAACGTTTCACATGATTTTCGAGCCAGCAAAGTGTCTGAGATAGACAGGCAGAACTGGTAGCAAGTTCTGTAGCAAGTTCTGGTAGCAAATTGGTGTGTCAATGCAAGAATTGCATTGTACAGGCTTGGTCTGAGTGTTTGAAGGATGATGAATGATGGACGGTGATGCTGGGTACTCAATTCCAGATGGTGCCTTGCTGTAAAGATACTTAAAGGAAATGATACTTATAATAGCAATGAGATTTCTAATCTATCATAATTATCTTACATACCTTTTAATCTATTTTTCTAATTTTTCAAATGCATATTTATGAAAAATAAGGAATAATATTTAAATCTCTCTCTTTATTGACAGAACAGTCTCTTTCTAAAAAGAAACATCGAGTTAATGCATCAAAACCAGCTCATCTTCTATTCAAAATATCCTATTAAACACACGAACGAAGCCTATCACTACTTATCAGAACTTTAATCCCATACTCTCCGCTCTAACCATTCCCTAATCTCTCAACCGAACCAAAAGTCTCTTACCCAATTCGCGCACAGAGAACTACCAAGTCCTAAGTTCCCCGAAGACAGTCCCAACAAAGGTATCAACTCCAACGTGCTTAGCCTAACAGCACAACCCATCAGTGTGAAGCCCCAGTCGAACTCATCGAGTACCCTAACTTGGTACTTCAGGCCTTCACGATGCACGTGGATACCCGGGTGAGTGGACGTCCGTTGCAACTCACGACGAGTCTGCGGAAGAACTCGTCGCAGGTCCAGCTCGTATCTAGTGACCCCGAACAGACTGTACCCTGAACGGTTTCCCGGCGTGTAACATGCTGGCAGTTGGCGCGCGCTGGAATGGAAGTCAGTGAGCCATCGGAAGAATCTCAGAGTCGCTCAACTCGAGCGTCCGTGACACGCTGCAAGCGGCCACCGCATCCGGGGACACTTACCATCCGCCGAACGTGGTCTGGACGACGATCAAAGGCGTGGTGATCATCAGCATCATCGTGACGGCGTTGGTAGGCAACGCTCTGGTGATCGCCAGCGTCAGGCGGCACCGGAAGCTCCGGGTGCCCACCAATCGCTACGTGGTCAGCCTAGCCGCGGCAGACTTTCTCGTCGCGGTCTGCGCCATGTCTTTCAACGCGTCCGTCGAATTGACCGGTCAATGGATGTTCGGCAGGGTGATGTGCGACGTGTGGTGTTCGTTGGACGTTTACTTCTCGACAGCCTCGATCCTCCATCTGTGCTGCATCAGCGTGGACAGGTACTACGCGATTGTCAGGCCCTTGGAGTACCCGGCGATCATGAGAAGACTCACTGTCACCTGCATGCTTGGCAGCGCCTGGCTGCTGCCTGCTCTCATCAGTTTCATCCCTATCTTCATGGGATGGTACACCACTGACGAGCACTTGGAGAAGTTGAGCAAGCATCCCGAGGTAGAGAGATGGTTTTCTTCCATGGGGTCTTGACAGAGTGGATTCTTCTCGTCTGCTGGCACAGGCCTGCGAGATGGTTTCTCTTTTGAGAAATGGTATTGTTTCTTCTCTGAGCTGTTCTCGATGCTCTGGGGGAAGTGGATGGAGGAGATTAATGACGGTGAAGCTTTTGAAAGGAGTCTTTTGAAGATTGGTTGAAGATTATTCATTTTTATGGCGGATCCTTACGTGATTTACCGCTTTGTTAGTTCGAGGCTAGGCGATCGTACTCATCTTCGTCCTTCCTTTCTTTCCTTCCTTCGGGCAAGTGCATTCGAGTTGGAATATTTCGAAGATGGAAAGGCGCAATTCACTTGGGATAACGCACCACTGGGAGTTCCTCGAGGATGCTCTTCGAGTGAATATTAAAGCGAAGGTTTTTAGAGCATGATAATTCTAACTCTCAGGTTGTGATTGAAAATGGGACTCCTTTTACTGAAAATCTTGATCTTGAATAGTGATTCGAGTAACTTTTTATCGTTCATCTGGCACTCAGAGTCTCTTTTATATCCAAGTTACGGTGTTATTAATTGGAACGAGTTTGCACCTGTGTAGATATGTTTTTTGATCATGTTTCATGTGTTGAAAGTGAAGTTATATGGGGATCGATTAATTTAGAGTGGAATTGTGTTTATTTAATATTTTACTCCATCTCTACCAATTATTTCGACTAATATTTCGAAAGGTATTTGGAAAATGAATGAAGCAACGTACGTTCTATTGTGTCTAGTTTGAAAATGGAATAACTGGCGAATAAATGCAGCTGATGAAACTCATACCGAGGTATTTGTCTTCCATTCCAAATACGTCATCAATCATCGACTATCAGGGTAAATTGTGAATTGTTATCCAATTTATACTATCCCAGTTAATTGCCAATTATTTTATCGAATTGTCGTTATTCGTACACAACCAAACATGGTATAATTACCAAAGGCATAGTAATCTCAATTTCGAGGACTAGAATTTCCTACAATTTTATTTCATTACTATGTTATACAATTTTTCTTTGTTATAAAAAATATAATTTAATATTAATTATCTTAATTATTTACATTAATTTCATAAATTCAGTCGTTAATTATATTACATAATTATTTCTTAACCAATATAAATATTTATAACGACAATTATATTTGTTATTTAATCACTATTTAATCACTATTAATCTTCCACAATTTACATCAATTGGATTTGTATTTTTCTTTAATTTTACGACGTTCAAATATTTAAAATTCATTCAGAAGCTTCTCGTGTTAAATATTTTTTCATCGGTACCATTCTCCCTTTGAAGATGAACCTAACCTATAACCCGAACAAAGGAACGCATCTCGGTATTCCAAACGCTGCGCGCTCATTTTTCCTCGCAGAGTGAACGACACACCTCGTTCGATTCATCTTTCATTCAGCCATCCAACGGATTCGTGCTCGCTTATTGCGTCTACGATATCCCGACGAATTTGTAATTCGAACCGGTTCTCGTATTCTCGATCTTGTCGACGAGGTGCACTCGATAAGCGGCGTTCAATTTTCTGTCGTTGCAGTTAATAGAATATTTTATCGGATATTTACACTCGAGTCGTGCAGGACAGGATTTCAATCCGCGGAAAATCGAAGGAAGGAAACGACGAGGAAGATGAACGGCCTTCGAAATTTGCATAGAGATGATTTACTATCTGCCTCTTCTTCCGGGCTACTATAAACGGAAACTTCGAATTAATAGCCTCGATAATTCTACCTCCAGTGGTATGTGTTGCGTTTCTCGCCCAAAAGTGTCATTGTTTCTTGTATTTCTTCTTCGCAAGAAATTTCTCCTTCTCTCCTCTCTAATGCATTTTGATTGCAGCTAGTCTTATCTTTAGCTGTTATCAATATTAATTCATTACCTCTGGTCAATCGATGAGGATAGGCAAATAGAAAAGTGACAGAATTGAGTTGAAATTGGATTTCCTTGAAATTGAAATTGTAACAAAAATACAGAGAATTTTCGATTTTGCATAGTACTTGCTGAAGATCTTCCCTTCGCGGTTTTTATCTTTCACGAAATTTCTAAATTTCTATTTCAAATAAATTTAATACGATTAAATTTGACTTAAATTCCAGTCAGAAATTAATAAGTATTAATTAATGTCGTTAATGTGGTTACCAATGGGTAACCACTTAGATAATTAACAAGAAAATCAAAATATAAGAATAAATTTATCCACAAATAATCCCTATAACATTAATAAAGAAAAATAATAATAGCAAATTAATTAATGGCATTAATGTACTTGCTAATGATCCCTGTATCTTTAACAAAGAAAAGTAATAATAATAAATTAATTATTGACACTAATGTGGTTACCAATGAGCCTTAGAAAATTAACAAGAAAATCAAAATATAAGAATAAATTCATTAATAAATAATCCTTCTATCATTGACAGAAGAAATAATATTAATAAATTAATTAATGGCATTGATGTGATTGCCAATGGCTCTTAAATCAATCAAAGGGGAAAAGGAAAGAATAAAATATATCCGTTTTAAAGCAGCAAAGGAAACGGATGAGACACGACTGATTTAAGGAATAAAGAACCGTTTGAATCATCGCCATATTTGCTCGTTATTCGAATCAAGAATGAACATCTTCTTCAGATGCACAATGCTTCTTATTCAATCTCAGTCAGCACACGGTTTCCAAACAATGCGCCGCCATTATTATATTCGAAGTCATATTCGGACGTATTATAACCTCTCATCCGGTATTCGACCACTTATAACTTCGTTCGAGCCGGCTGCGCGCACACATCTGTTAACCTACATTGCACGTATAGGCGGCGCTGCGGTAGCGCTGTGTGCGCGCGCATTATTATAATTTAACCTCGCGAAATTGCAGCCGGAACGAATGCGACGTCCGAAGTAACGCGACGGTGAATTTATTACTTTTCCAGGTCGGGAATTTCCACGCGAGTTTCTCGAACAACGTCATTACTCGGAAATGTTTCGGACAATAAAGTGGCCGGGACGTGAATCTTACCAGCGTCTCCTAATTTTCGCTGTCGCGCCAAGTCGAACCACGCGAAGTTTGCGTTATTATCTTGTTGAACTTACGCTTTCGCGGGAACTTCTTAAGAGTTTAATTCGATACAACTTGCAGCCATTTTTGCACTGACCGACGAAGATGAGAATTATTTTGGCTAATGGGCATCGAAGAATTATTTTAGGTTATGAGGATCGAAGAATTATTTTAGGTTATGTAGATCGAAGAATTATTTTAGGTTATGAAGATCGAAGAATTATTTTAGGTTAGGAACCACGAGTTAATTGTAAAATCTCGTAGAATAGGAACGTATTAGATTTGAATTTTGGAAATATATGGAGATTTTGGAACTTGCACAAATTTTATGGATAGTAAAATATGTCAAGTATAATATCATCGTGAGGAGTTAATAGAGCAGAGATTTCAGAATTAATTCAGGTTATTGAGAACTTTAGTACCGGGCTTTTAAGATCATAGTAATTTCGTATAATAATTTTTCGTTTTATTATTTTTGCAATAATTCTAAAAATTTCCGTCGAGTAAGTAAATCGTGTAACTTCATTTTAAACTTCCAAAATTACTCGTAACTCTAATTACACTAATATTGCTGATCATAATAATTTCTACGGTACTCGTTAAGAATGCAAATTCTGTAATTTGACTTTAAACTTTGAAAATAACTCGTGATTTCAATTAGAAGATTTCTTAACATTTGACAAATTAAAATTAATTCGTGTTATAATTAACCTAATCGTTCTTAACTTCATTTCTCAAATTTTTGTTTATTATTGTTAGTTCCATTATTCATATTTTTGTCTCCAGTATTGTTTATCAAGTTTTATTTTATTTTTATTTTCTGTTTTATTTCTTATTCTATGTTTTATTTCCTATTTCAATTTTTATTTCAATTATTTGTCAGTTATATCCATTTTTCAATGTCCATTGTTAATATCAATGCTGGTACGATATTTTTACGTTTCTATCCTCGGTCCTGGTACTTTCGTGTCCCCTATTTTTACCTCCCTTTTTAAATATCTCTTTCACTTCTATTATTAACTTCCTTCGCCTGTATTTTTAACCCTCTTAACTTTATTCATAACTTCTCCGCGTTCGCCGTTTATATCCTCATACTTCAATTGGCTCCGTCCAACGTTTATTTTCGATTTCGCTGCTCGCGTTATTAACTTCTTACTCCTTTACTTTCAATTTCCTTATTTCAATAACAGATTTTGTTACGATGACACGGGCCTCTATTTCGTTTTTAGCTTCCTTCTTCCCATTAACTCGTTCCTTTTTATTTTCAATTTTCCCATTTCCACTTTCAATCTCCTTACCACCTTTAACCTTATAGTTCCATTTCTTATAATCTCGTCGTTATTTATTTCTCCCAAACGTTAACGTCCTGGCGTTTTCCTTCTTTCATTTTTACGTTCAATGTTTTTAGCATAATAGTTCATTCCTTTTTGCAATACAGAGAAAGAGAATGAAAGAATTTTATTTTTTTTTTATCACAAGTTCGAGTTGCATATATAGATAATTCTTTTCACTTTATTAGTTTCTAAAATATTCCTTAATTATATTTATATTAATATTTATTATTTTATTAATTATAAATTATTTCTAAAATATGGAAAGTTTTCACTTTAGTTTAAATTGAATAGGATATTTTATTTTTATTTTATTTATTGATTGCACAATTGATATATTTTTATTTGTTTTTTCATTTATTGCAGTTGGAATTTCTTTCTATATTTTTATTCATCTTGAGGAAAGGCAACTCCATATTTTATTTGTTTATTTTTCTTTGAAAATGTTGCTGTTGAGGAAACAGTTTTATTTCACTGCAATTAAGATATTTTAAATCATTGACTAGTCATTCTTCATAATTTGAAATCATTCTATTTTCAGTACGCAATCATTATAATTGCATAACCATATTAACATAGCATCCCCCATATAAAAATTTAACTAGTTTTAATATTAAATGTTCAAATATGCCAATAATTTAATGATTAAAATTGCTATTTATTTATTTATCAATTTTTCTGTTTGCTGAAACATTCTCCCTTTATTTGTCACTTTGACGAGTTGTTCTAAAATTTGGGAGTAATGATGATAAATCGTGATGATTTATTAAATGCAGTTCACGCGAAAAAATAACATCACTGGGGCATAATTTTCCGATAATTGAAGCCGCAGTTAATAAGTTCGCGATTAATCGGGGTTCTACTGCAAAATACCACGGAGAAAAGGAACAAAATGGCAGGACGAAATATATTGCTCCGATAATACAGCAGGTACAATGAACCGTTCCAACAATGGGCATTCTGTTAATCGAAATTCTGCCGTGGCTTCAACTTTCATATTTCTCTGTCCATCGAATAATAACTCTTTCGTGTTTTCGAAATTTATGTGCTTACCGTGATTTCTACAGATTCCGCTGATTAAAGTTACTGTCGCATTAACGTGTCTCTCTTCCCTTTCTTCCCATTCAGCTGCATTTAACACGAAACGTGTCCTCTCCGAATTCAAAGAAATATTTTTCAATTCAAAAAGGTGGAAAAAATCCAAACACGTGTTAAATTAAAATTCTCTAAAAAAAGGAAATAACAGTAATAAAAATTTAAGCTGTTTGGAGATAAATAATTTAAAAATATCGCGTGAAAAATTATAGAAGAGCAAAGAAATATTAAAATTTGTCCAATTAAATACAATAATTTCAGAAAAAATTTCGTGAAAGGGGGAGAAAAAACGAAATGAGGGAATTTAGGAATAAATAATTCAAAGAATATTTCATTGAAATATTTAAATTAGAATATAAGCAATTTGAGGACGATTCGAAAAGGCAGGGAGATTAAAGAAATATTTAACCTCGCCCAATTAAGTAGTTCGGAAGTTGTACAGGTGCAGGGAAGATGTTATAAGAAAGGAATTAATGAGGTCAAAAAATGAGGAGTCCTCGAGAAGCTCTGGATTACTGCAGCTGAAGTTTTAAACGTTTAAAAAATGTTGAGCTAGACAAGAGGATCTGGCAGATGAAATTAAAGTGAAAAGAAATGTCAAACTGTTACCGAGAAGGATTAATTTCATTACTCAAAAAGTGTTCTTAATTTATACCACAAATTTTAAGATTTAAAAGGAACTCGAGTTGAAAGATCAATTGGAAGCAAAATGTATAAATAAAAGAAAGATAAAAATTCGTGGGAAATCTAAGCAATTTGCTGAAAACTTTTCCAAGTATAGCTTGCAGGAAAGAAATTCAGTCGAAGCAAATTAAAGGTCTAAAATATCAGGGAAATCCAAATCGAACCGGTTCAATTAGAGATTAAAACGCAACGGACCAAAATATCCGAATATAAGAGAAGAGTTTCACAGAGGAAACGAACCCGCATTTAAATCGTCAAAATCTTTAATCAATTTAGCCAAAAGCCTCGAACTTGATTCACCGTCAGAAATAAAACAATTTCGACACTAGAAAGGAGTTCTGTATTTACAACGAAGAATCCATCTCTTTGAGAGACCTCAAATAGGCTTCAAAAAGGTCTATTTTCTCCCAAACCCATTTCAGTTCGCTTAACCCATTACCCACTATAGCTCGCTAATGAAATCACCGGAATAGAGATCTTCCTGAAAATCGAACAAACCTGCTTCCCACAAAAAGATATTTCAATTATTCATTTACCAAAAGCCAACTAGACAGCACAGAATCACGTAGAAATTAAAATAAAAATTTATTCAATGATCCAAAATCATCCTTCACCTACGACTACCACTATTTCAAAGCTAGACCTAACAGGACATGTCCTCCGAGCAAGAAGTACCAATTTCTTTCGCACCAAAAAATATTTCAATTATCAAACAAGCAACTAGAATTCTCAAAATCTATGAAATCGTATGAAATTCAAAAAAGAAAAATTTAAGATCAATGAATTAGAGATATTCCGTGTATATATAGAGTCACGCCTATCCCAAACTTAGCCCCAACAGAGAACCTACTCCCGCAGTTCAACCTACCCATATCCAAACCATTACGCGAACTCCTCCTAAAGTATTCAGCAAAATGATGAAGCGAATCAGAATTAAAAATTAAAAAAAAATTTATTCGATGATCCAAAATCATCCTTCACCTACGACTTTCTCTGTTTCAAAGTTAGAGCTAACAGGACATGTCCTCTAATTGTAAGCCAAAAGTACCAATTTCTTTCCCCTCAAAAAATATTTCAATTATCAAGGAACCAACTAGAATTCTTAAAATCTACGAAATCCTATGAAATTCAAAAATGAAAAATTTAAGATCAATTGATCAGAGATATTCTGCCATCCCTATCCCAAACTTAACTCCAGCAGAGAACCCAATCCCGTAATTCAACCTACCCATATCCAAACCATAACGCGAACTCCTCCTAAAGTGTTCAGCTCGAAACGAAACGCGAGACCTTCCCGAAAGTGTATGGCTAAAAATAAAACTGGGAATGCTCGTAAATAAATAGAGGTTCTGCTTAACAAAACTATTGAACACGGTGTGTGTCGGTGAATCAGGTGTGCATGTTCGAGGTGAACCGAGCCTACGCCGTGATTAGTTCCTCGGTCTCCTTCTGGATTCCTGGTCTCGTGATGATCGTGATGTACTGCAAGATCTACAAGGAGGCTGTGCGTCAAAGGGAGGCGCTCAGCCGCGCCTCCAGCAATACCGTCCTAAATAGTGTTCACTTGCACCGGGCGTCCACCTCGAGGCATCATTCCAGGGCATCCCATCAGCTGTTGCTACACCCGAGTGACGCCAGCGATTTCGGCAGACCTGTGTCGTATAGAACGGCCGCGGAGCTGAACGTGGAGAACGGTGAGTGGTCACAGAAAGAGTGAAACTTCAAAGATTGGCATGTGTGGTAAAAGGATCGGGTTTATAGAGATTTAACTTTAAACTTTGATTTTATTTTATTCTCTTCCGATACAAATGCGTGGAGGCTCGAGACTTGTGCGATGCGTGCTGCAGACGGTAAATTGTAGAAAGAGTGCCGTCGAACCCTTCAGCCAGGGTTTTATAGGATTCGAAAAGTGATAAAATCTTGATGGTCCCTCGAAGCAAACATAGTTATCGATGCAGGGTGACGCCATCCAAATAAAGACTCCTCTCACACATGCGTGTGTATCTCTGGTGCCAGATGTGCACCTGGACTGCACTGGGTTAGACTGCACTGACGAAAGATTTGCTGCCTTTAGAGCCTTTGGGACTAAAGTGTCCTACGATTAGGATGAATTTACGCTTTGAACGTGAAATATAGTTTCATCGTGCATCGCTGACGATTTATTTGCTCAGTAGGTCTGAGAGAGGAACGCTCTGATACATTTAGACCGGTTCAGTGACGGATTTTATTTTTGCAGGTGCTATTAGACTATGCTATAGAGAGTTCTATTAAAAATTAAAAATTCTCTGTCGAGGAGATTTATTTTTAGCTCTGTTCTAGTCCAAGTGACTATTTCCTCTTAGAATATTCTGCAGGTTGCATGAAGCATTTAGGACCCTGAGGATTTTATGTTTCGCGCTGACTGACAATGGCTCGGGGAACACTACCGTCGATTGAAATATTCACAGGTTATCGTTCATTTTATACCTTCTCCTCTAGGCTTCCTCCTCCTTTGCATTTATCATGAAGTTATTCGAGTTATACGGAGCCTATCGATTATGCTCACGCGTTTACTTTCGTAGAAACGAGCCATTAATAATAAAATATTACACGATATTATCGTGTCTCAAAAATTTCAGCTATTCTACCCTCGATAATTTGATATCTCTTTAAGAGAAATAAATAAAATCCGAAATTTGTCTCCAAACAACGCGCAATATCCTGTCTGACATTCATTTCATCGGCCATTTTGAATACGTACTCGCGACTATATATCCCCCTGGAAAAAGCAATTTTTTCCTTGTCCAATAATTCTTCGAAAAATACACAAAACACGTTGATAAATGAAGATTAAATCTCGTTCCCCTAGAACCAATTATTCGATGTTGAACACCACTCGGGCAGCAAGCAGGTCCACTATATCATCCGACCACTAATTCTAGCTTCCAAAAGCTGTCACGAATGACAATATTAACCATTCCCTTCCCACTCCAGCGTCTTTGCTTATTTTTATCCGATAAGCCCGCTTACTTTTCCCTGGTCCGTTGAAACCCGATATTCGCGCGCGCCATCGTGAATCCGAGTTATTTATCGAGGGCCGCGCGCGGCGCTAGTGTCGCGCCCGACCTTGTCTTCGATCGCACGGGACAAAAGATCCGAACGTTTGCCGTGTGTCGTCTAACGCGGTGTTCCTTGTGCCAACGGTGTATTGTCTCGGTCGTTTGCGAACCACGAGACCCGTTCTGGAGCTTTCGTATTTTTAGATCTCGAAGTGCTCGTTCTCTCCGCGGGACGTTTATTAAGTGGACACTCGCCGCGTGGAGGAAGCAGAAAACAAACAGTCCTTCAACACCTGTAAAATCACTCCGGCGTCCGTGTCATGTCCCGGAATTATTTTTGTCGCCATTTCCCACTCCCTGTTCTGACTTCAACTTTTATGTATACTGCACCGGGTGTCCAGTTTTCATCGATAAATCCGAGCTGCTCGCTGAGTAGCCTGCTGAACGAAAAAATGATTCAGATAAAATCGTGTCATTATTTATTTATTTATTTATTTATTTATTTTTGTAGGAGGTGGAGTGTATATATCGTAATGTATAGTATAATATAATAGATGTATGAGTAGTTGGGATTTATCTATTAAAATTGGACACAATGTGTATGTGGAATTGTTGAAGTTTGTTGAATTTTGAGTTGTGGGATTGGAATAAGTTTATGTGTGGTGTGATGCTGAAGCTGTTTCATAAGGGACGTTTTGATTGTATGATTATTTCATAGGGGTGGAAATATAGAATAAAAGTTATTGGATCATATTATAATACTAAATTTTGTTTGAATATTTATGTCATGATAATTATTTCTATTTCCTTTGTCTTTCTTTCTGGTAGGTTTAATTCATTTTAATTTTATAATTGTGAGATAGTGGTGTAATACAGTAATTTAATAAATGGTGCTGTTAAATTGGTAGTTGAACTGCACACTGGAGGGTGTAAATATTAATTAAATACCTCCTGTTGCTATAATTGAATCACAACTTCAAATGTATTATTGATATATTAAATTTTATTGAATTTATTACTGAAAATATAATTAATTGCACAAGGGACCTCGCATAATTGAGTTCAGCCATAGCTTTAAAGTGATATGGGCTGAAACAAAATTTGATCAACTAAAATGAAATGGCGTGTCACGTGATGCATTTATCTGTACCGAAAGTGCATAATTTTCCAAAATTCCTGGGTCACCACTTTTTTCTTAGTGCATCAATTGCTTAAATTTTGCTTTTCACAAGAAGATGATGATTTTGCATCTTTTGTTTGTGTCGGGAATCAAAATGGCATACTTCTTTAGTAGGGGGAGTACTTTTTCACACAACAATAAAATGGAAGCGAAATATATGCTTCTCGGATATTATACTTGGAAATTTTTGCCAGAGAAGCCGTTAAAAATTCTAAAACCGAAATCTGCATAACAAATTTTACGAATTTTTCGCGTAACAGCATTTTCTGCAATTAAACTCGTTTTTACGCAAACCGTTGGGATTGAATCTGCAAATTTTTTCGAAATAAAAATTCCGCTTCGTAATATGTAAATTTGCAGGGTATTTAATTTTGACGCGTAAGGTGATAACTGTATTGGTCAGTTTTATAAGAAAGATATTTCATAATTTTCGTGCATGTCATCGCAGAATAATGTTTCTACTATTTCATTTTTTTTCCTTTCTTTTCATTTTTGATTTAAGCGAGTGTAACTTTTTACAATGAGAGTATCAAAACAATTTTGGGTAATTTTTCCATTCATAAATTTAGGTCATTTTGGATGTTTTTGACGTTTAATAATATTATATTTCTCTCTTTTAATTATTATACATATAAAATTTCGTAGCTACGCCTGTATTTCGAAAAAAAATTACGAAGTGTGATCAAATTTGCGATATATCGTGTTCAAATAAATTCTCTCTATAGCCCCATCATTTTCTCATATTTTAATTATAATCCACGGCGTATCAAATTTTAAACAACATTAATTAATCTCCTTTTGAATGCTATCTATGACGTGACTAATTATTCATTCTTCGTATCTCCACGATATATCCAATGCTTTATTAGAAAAGTAATTGTCTCTCTATAGAACTGACGAAAAAATTCAGAATTTTTCAGAAAAATTCGAATATTAATTACACGATTATTATAAAAAAAATCACGTTTACTCGAAATAATTAAATTTTAATTAATTAAAAATTCCCAGTATGACAGCAACAAATTTCAATTACTCATCGAGGAAGCACTTTCTAGTCGTAAGAAGCACAAAAGTAAGAGAGAATTGTACGACTGTATCTTTGACTATCTCACCTCGGTGGAGCAGAGACTTTCGGCTTTCTGGCTGTAAATTGAATTCAGTTTCGTTTTCGTTTGAAGCTCGCTCTTGACGAAATGCCGCGTTTTACCAGAGCATGGAATGCGAGCGGTGCAAAGGTTGGAACGCTTTTGATATCGCATGGAAATCGAAGCAAAAGCGAGGAGGAACGCAGGTAATCGCGGTTCGAGTCGCGCAAAAAGCAAATGGCGGCAACTTTCGCTGCGAATCGGCATTCGCACGGTAATAACAGATTCCAGCAGCAGCAATTATTGCTTCACCAAAAATGACGTGCGATCGATGTCGAAATTTCTCGGACTGATACCACGTATAATTTTTTCATCATCTTCCTCCACCTTTCTTTCCTTTTTATTTTTATTCCTCCCTGGTTATGCCTCGTTTTATGGTTGGAACATGATATCGGGGTAATAGGATCACGTTTTATACAGAAATCGTTTACGACACGAATGGGGTGATCTAAAAATGAATTATTATTCATTGAGTATCATTACGCGATTCAAATATTATAAATATATAATATATTTCTGTGATAACAATCTTAAATAAAAAAGCAAACCATCTGTGATAGTTGTTATATATAATATAACGTAATAAATAATATTAATAATTTTATAATATAATCGAATAATTATTATGTTAATGATAAATTATACATATACTGTAAGTAATAAATATATTATCGAAATATAATGAGATTACGTAACTTGCTTGTAATAATAGAATTACTTGGAAGGTGTCGAAAATTTTGGAATAGCGTAAATGAGATTATTTTTATCACGTTTGGGCGTCAGAGGAAAATTTCGTGTGTGAATTTTATGTTACTCGCTTTTGAGTTTCTTCGCGAAAAAGTTAATTGAATGACATGGGGAACGTAGTTAGATATGTATGTAAATTAGGTCTACGTGGGATTTATAAAAATTTGTCTCTTTCGCTCTTGTTTTTCGCTTAAAATTTTATCAAAGATTCTTGTCAACGTATTATAATAGAATTCGTTATTTTAAATACATATTTTACTTCTCTGCAGGGATGCAAAGGGTAGAAGGTTTAAAATTTGAAAGTAGGTTTTCCTACATTTCGCGAAGTTCCATTATCATTTTAAGTACTTTTTCCGGTATTACGGTCGAAGTATGAGGATATCTAATTTTGGATTGCGAAAACTATTTTTACTTACAAACGTAGAAATTTAGGTTCTAGAATTTCGCAGTGGACTTTTCTTAATATCCAAAGTTGACTTCGTTTTTATTCTAAGTTTCCTTGTAGAATTTTGCCATCTGGACGATAACATTCTAATACCAGGATGCAAGTTCTACTTCTGTATTGATAATCCAGTAGTATCAAA